ATATATATATATATATATATATATATATATATATATATATATATATATATATATATATATATATATATATATATATATATATATATATATATATATATATATATATATATATATATATATATATATATATATATATATATATATATATATATATATATATATATATATATATATATATATATATATATATATATATATATATATATATATATATATATCGAGTCAAAAGGATACGTATAAAGCAAGAAGCCTCGGTGTGTTTGAAGCTTTCAGAGTGACTGTGAGGAACTTCTCCATCCTGTCTCTCAGATCAGGCATCCAGGAGTCCTGTGGGTCAGAAAACACACTTCTGTAGACTCACACACGCAAGCTTTACTACGCTCAACAGATGTGTTACCTCAAAAAATGAATTAAATATTCATTCATTCATATAATTAAATATATACAACATTTATTTAGTGATAAACATATAAAAGACATTTAAAAGAATGTTCAAGCTGCTCATACTTCAATGCAAAATGTTTTATCACTCAGAACGTCGCCAAATTAAAAATAACATGTAATACATGCATATTTTTTCTGATCGAATAAAAAGCTTATCTGACCCTGTAGTGTGTGCGTACGTTTTTAATGCGCATTTTTAATATTTATGCACATCTTTGTGTTTCCGACAAGCATTTGTTCTAATGTGATCATTCAAAATGCACATAAAAAAGCTGGATGGAAGCATAACTAATGGCAGTACCTGGAACAGCTCCTGAAAGGACGGGTGCACCATGGGATTGGGCACAAATGGCAGGGCGTAGAACGGTAGGAACTCAGTGGTTTGGCTGAGCGCGGCTCCTCTGGTCTCCAGGTAGTGTCTGAAATGCGTGATCCGGCTGTCGAACTCGGCTTTGTCCTGTAAAACACAACTCTACTTAATAATCATCAACAAGAACATTCACATCTCGACTGAAAGACAACACTGTGCCATTCAAAGAAAGACTTAATGGGACAGTTCACCTTTAAATGAACATTTATTCACTGTTTACTCTCCCTCAAGAGTTTCGTTCTACTTTTAAGCTCACAATAATAATATATAAAGCTGAAACCTTTGACTTCCATAGTAGGAAAAACAAAAACTATAGAAGTCAATGGTTACAGCTTTTATCAGAATATAATATATTGTGTTTAAAAAAAAGAAACTCATAAATGTTTTAAATAAGTGAAGGGTGAGTAAACAATCGCTGAATTTTTATTTTGATTGAACTATCCCTTTGAGACGCCATTTCTGACTGTCTGAAGCAGATGTTTTGGTGATTGTTTTATTCTATAGCGCCATCTCCTGGTTACATAGAATACTACATGTAGTTTCCTGAGCCTTTTGACTTCATTTAAATAAGGTTTTCAATAGTACAGTGCACTTACGTGGCTTCCTAAAGGTGACTTGAGTGGGTAAATCGTAAAATGGATTTGTAGGTAGAATTCCAGTTTTTGGGCGACTGGATCAAAATCCCGAATCTCAGGGGGAATATTTTTAGCCCACAGCTCAGAAAATACCTTGTAGTCTCCATCATTAAACGAGCTGAGAAAATCCTCCTGCAGGAGAAAAGAAAGCATAGAGTGAATTAACAACAGCAACAGAAATAATAGTGATATATTCATATTAATAATGAGTAGGTGCTTTTCACTTATTTTTTACACAAAACTAGCAATAAAGTTATGCTTTTCACAGAGAAATAGGATTTAGCAACAGTGTCATAGATATTGATTCTGTTATAAAAATGTGACATATTTATTATATGCATTATAATACTTATTTTCAGGATTTATTAGAATAAAAAATGAAAAAATAATACATTTCGAAGAACACAAATATCACAAAGTAATCAAACAGACATCATTTAAAAGAATTTAAACATTATATTTAGACCATTTTGAGGGATGTAAACAAAAACAATGGCCCCAAGGTATTTCTTGTTTGACATTTTTAATGTCTATAGCTTCAGAGAATCCAAAAAGAGCCACATTTTGATAAATAATATAATGATAGCTGTTTTAACATTAAGTTATGATTGAACTGCCTCTTGTTACAGTTATGAAATAGTTTGACATTTGGATATATATATATATATATATATATATATATATATATATATATATATATATATATATATATATATATATATATATATATATATATATATATATATATATATATATATATATATATATATATATATATATATATATATATATATATATATATATATATATATATATATATATATATATATATATATATATATATATATATATATATATATATATATATATATATATATATATATATATATATATATATATATATATATATATATATATATATATATATATATATATATATATATATATATATATATATATATATATATATATATATATATATATATATATAT